TTGGTGGGGTGAGGCGTGAGGGATGAGGCTTATTTTTTCAATTCTCTGTATGTTAGTAAGATGAACTCTCAGTTACATGTTGGAATTTCTTTTCTTCTTTTTGTTACTTGCCTATTCTTTTGATTTTTTAATGCTTTTGTTTTATGGAGTTTCTTATGGCCCCATTCTTTTCCATTTTCTTTATATTTTGGGTTTTTATGTTGAATTTAGAGAGGTCTTTTCTCTTTAGAGCATATAGTCATGTATATTAACTTTGAAATTCATTTACTTTTTGTTTCATATTCCTAACAGTCTAATAAAATTTTTACTGTGTTATACCAAGGAGCTATAGATTATATACTTGTATCTGGATGTATTTTAATCTAATCTTAACATTGTATTTTTAAAATTTATTCATATGCTTTCAAGCAGCATGTACTTTATATTGAAATGTTCTATTCAAACTGCAACAGCATAGTGACATTTAAATGTGTCCCAAGTTAAGCATTTTCTTTTTATTTTCTTCCTCATTACCTTCTTTGGCTTGCATTTTAAATATTATCCATCAGCTTTTTTGTGTGAAATTAGGAAGAAACAGTACTCATGTTGTTAAATAACTGTTTATTTTTAACATGCTGCAGGATATTGAAGACAAAGTAAGTAGCAAAGTAATAACCTGTAAATGTGCAAGTAGTTTGTAGTTCACCTAAACTAAGCAGATAGTTGAATAGACAGGCACCTTGATATCTTAGACAAGCAATGCTTAATCACTTATGCAAAAGAGTTTTGGTGAAATAACACAAGGATGGGACTGCCTAAATGTATATTGTTAATGGATGCTTGGATACATACAATTTTAAAAAAGAGATATATATATATATATACACACACACACACACACACACACACACACATATACACACATACACACATATGTATATACATGTATGTATACACACACACTTTATATATATTAAAAGTGATATATGTACTTTGTTAATATATATTAAAAGATGTATACATACATATATACATAGGCATATGCATAATACATGTAGGCATATACATATATATATATACATATATATACTTATAAGTTGTAGTCAGACATATATTCAGCCTTCATTGAGCAAAAAGTATGTTGAAAACAAAATCTAACTAGAGTGATATAGGAAAGTCCCTTTTCTCAAAGACAAAAGCCAATTAAACATAATATTCAAGATACCAACATTAGTTTAAGAAATGCACTTTTGGCTGGGTGTGGTGGCTCAGGCCTGTAATCCCAGTGCTTAGGGAGGCTGAGGCGGGTGGATCAAGAGGTCAGGAGTTCGAGACCAACTTGGTCAAGATGGTGAAACTCTGTCTCTACTAAAAATACAAAAATTACCCAAGTGTGGGTGCACGTGCCTATAGTCCCAGCTACTTGGGAGGCTGAGGCAGAAGAATCACTTGAATCTGGGAGGTGGAGGTTACAATGAGCAGAGATCATGCCACTGCACGCCAGCCTGGGCAACAGAGCAAGACTCTGTCTCAAAAAAAAATTTTTTTTTTCACTTGTTTTAATTTTATTTTTAAAAGTTTTGTAAATTGAAAGTGGAATAGCTAAAGCTTTTAAAATTACTTTTAATTATTGTTATTTATTATGATTATTTTGAATTATTGAAATAAACAATTATAGTAGTTTTTGTTTCCGCTCTTCCATAACAGCTAATTCTTTGCAAAAAGGAAAATAGAACAATATATGTATTGATTTGCAAGTTTCACTAGGTAATTAAAGGTTCTTAAACACAAGATTTGTGTACAAAATGTTATTTAGGCATTATTTTTTTTAATTCAAAAAGGTTAAGAACCATGTATCTTATGCCCAGGATAAAATTAAAGTTTTGTTGTACAAAATGTTAATCCTTGAAATTACTCTTTGTAGGGAAGTTAAATAAGAGTCTGTTATATGCTGTATTCTGATGTTTCCAAATGCATTTGGACAAAGTAGGACACAGCTGTTATAGTGAGAAACAATGCAGTGTAGACTTTTTCTTTACATTTAAATACAGCAATCATCATCTTAATGTTTTTCTATGGTAGAGACTTAATAGATTACAAAAATCTTCAGATTTGTATTCTTATTTCTAATGCAATTTATTCTTGACTTTTGCTTTGCTGTTACTGCTTTTTCTTGATATAGTATATTCCTCATTTCTTTTTTTAGGCTAGGCAGCTGGAAGAGAAAGACCGAGTGCTCAAGAAGCAGGATGCATTCTACAAAGAACAGCTGGCTAGACTGGAGGAGAGGGTATGACTATTTTTCGTCATTGATTCTATCCACATCTGCCGCTTTCTTGTATATTTATTTAAAAATTAATAAATTAGAACTTCAGCTGCTTTTCCTAGTTGTCAAGTGGACAGGAAGTGAAGAGGCAGAGCAGATAGTTTGTCCAATCTAGGAATGTCATTTTTTCTTTGGGCACTTTGGAATGGTTGCATTGTTTGTTCATTGATGTATTTTGTCACTTGGGAACTCCACCAGATACTTCTCCTTATGTGTTTAGAATCTACATTGCCTCCAGGTCAGACAGTACACTGCTACTCTTAACTCCCCCAAACACTGACTAAACTTTAGTGCGCTCTTAAAAATGGTAGTGTTTTAAATGATATGTCTTCTTATCTTTTTTTTTTTCCTTTTTGAGAAAGAATCTCATTCTGTCACCCAGACTGGAGTGCAGTGGTGCGATCTTGGCTCACTGCAACTTCCACCTACCAGGTTCAAGCGATTCTCATGCCTTAGCCTCCTGAGTAGCTGGGATTACAGGTATGTACCACAATGCCTGGCTAATTTTTGTATTTTTCTTAAAGATAGAGTTTCACCATGTTGGCCAGGCTGGTCTCAAACTCCTAGCCTCAAGTGATCTGCCCACCTCAGCCTCCCAAAGTGGTGGGATTACAGGCATAAGCCGCTTCACTTGGCAGGATATGTTTTCTTTCTGAAAACTCAGTTTCACTGCATTTGTAGTTAAGAAATGAATGTCTCCTTCAGGAGAGGTGGACAGGAGCTGAATAGTAGAAGTTAAAGATGAGTTAGGAGAAGGAAAAGAGATAGGGTGTCAGTCAGCATGGGTCTAGAATTTGACAAAGATGGGCAAAAGAAGGCAATGAGTTTAAGAACGGGAGTTTGAGCACTTATCGGTGCCGTCTGCAATAAAGTAGATTGGTTATCTAAATTAATTTCATACATAGACCATGAGGTTGCAGAGTGAGCTCTCTTTTTTTTTTTTTTGAGTGAAACCCTCACAATTTTATTTGTTGAAAATATGTTATTTGATAAGAAAATAGAAAAAAAAGAGAAATAAACTATTAATCCTCACTCAGTACAGTTATTTAGATGTTAAATGTGTTTGCTGTCTCCACGTGTTACTGAGCTGAATACTTCTTGAATATAGGGAGCATTCTCCTATTCATTCAGCAGATATCTACCTAAGCACCTAATATATGTTTGGCCCTGGCCTTGTGCCAGCAGCTGTGTGCTGGTGAAGAAAATGAGGTAAACATCTGTCTTCATGGAGCTTAAGTTCAATTTAAAACCAGTATACCTAGTGTATGGCAGATTATGGTAATTTCAGGAGGAATGAAATGGAAAAAGCGAGTCCCAGGACTGGAGTTTAGTCATGGAGCTGGGTAGAAAGGGAAGGTCTCTCTGTTGAGATGATGACATTTGGGAAGAGAGGCCTATGGTAATAGGGAAGCACGCCACTGCCAAAACCGTGAAGCAGGCATGAACTTGGCATGTTTGGGAAGGCTGGAGGGTTCAGGAGCATCCCCCTGGCTGCTGTCTTGGGCAAGAGTTGAAGCAACAGAATTAGTAAGAAATTATGGGAGTAATTCGGAAAAGCGATGGCAATGGTGTGGGTCTGAGTGCTGGCAGGGGAAGTAATGAAATGTGGTTCGGTATTTTAAAGGTAGAGTTGACCAGATTTGCTGATGACTTTGAACATGAGTGAAGAAAGCAAAGACTCCAAGAACCTTTAGGTTTATGGCTTTCATAACTAGAAGGCTTTTTCCACAGGGGAAGATTCTTAAGATATGGATTGGGGTGTTGGTGGTAGAGGAAATCAGAAGATTGATTATGGATATGTTAAGCTTAGGACACTTAAGACATTGAAGTAGAGATGTTGAATAGGCATAAAGTGGAATGGTTTAGAGAATGACAGCAATTTTTAATGTAAAAGGCCAGATAGTAAATATTTTAGGCTTTGCATGCCACGTTTGGTTTCTCTGCAGCTACCCAACTGACTTTGTAATGTGGAATCAGAGAAAGCCAATTTTAAATGAATGAGTATGGCTCTGTTCTAATTGCAGGACACTGAAGTATGAAGTTCATATGATTTTCATGCATCACAAAATTTTGCTTTAATTTTTTTTCAGCCATTTAAAATTGAAAAACCAAAACCAAGTAATGGGCCTGATTTGGCTCCCTTGTGGTAGTGTGCAGAACTCTGATTTAGAGCACAAGGCTCTGATGTCAGATGCCTTGGATTCAAATTTCTGACCTGGCATTTCCCTATGGTGTAATGTGGAACATCTTACTTTACTTCTCAGTTGTTTCAGTTGTTAAGTGGTGATATAATAGTACTTACCTCACTAATTTGTTAAATGAGCTAATACTCATAAAGCACCTGTAATAGTGTGTAGCACAGAGTAACCACTCACCCACTAATTGTTTTACTTCTATACTTAGAGATTGTACATGGGTTAGAGTTTGTATTTGTTTTCACACTGCTGTGATGAACTACCTGAGACTGGATAATTTATGAAATGAAGACCTTTAGTTGACTCACAGTTCTTCATGGCTGGGGAGGCCTCAGGAAACTTACAATCCTGGCGGAAGGTGGCACCTTTTTCACAAAGTGTCAGGACAGAGAGAGGGCATGCAGGGGAAACTGCTACTTTTAAACCATCAGATCTGAGAACTCTCTATCACAAGAACAGCCTGGGGGACACTGGGCGACACATAATCCAATTACCTCCTACCAGGTCCCTCCCTCAACATGTGGGTATTACAATTCTAGATGAGATCTGGGTAGGGACACAGAGCCAAACCATATCAGAGTTCGTAAATGTTAGCTGAATAAATGAATGAAAGTGAAAATTTTTGAGATGATGTACCTGGCACCTGCTTTTCCCCACCCAGTGACAATTTTCTTTGCCATCAGGTTTTACTGTGTTAGGTATCTTATAAACTTGCCTTTAATTGTTGTCAGGTTCAAGAAAAGGCACTGAAAAATATTCTCCCATTTCTCATAGACTAATTCACTGTTAGGCTTTTTGGCATCAAGTAGAACAAGTGGTAGAAGATTAGATAGACACAAAATGATAAGATCAAATTATTGTGAGTCGTGTCTTATATAGGCAGAATATATTGTTTTCCTTTTTGAAGATCAGGCTGGAAAGTAGTTACCCTGTAGTTGAAACTGAAGTCTGAGAAGCACAAGTGAGCTTAAAATGCTAAGGTGAAATGTATACACTGCTATTAGTTAATACTCAATCATGCCGCATTAAGTACTATGTGGGAGAAAGAATGTTAACGAGGAGTCAGAAGGCATGCTTTTGCCATCTAGCTGTTTGGCAGTTCACCTAATCTCTTGTGGTGTCTGGTTCTTATCTGTAAAATGTTCCTTGCTCATCTTTATGGTGACTGAGGGTAGATCAGGTGAATATGTAAAAACCTCTTGAAAACTGGAAAGAGCTTAACAAATATCAGCTGTTGCCGTGAAAGACTATCTGCTTACTTTCCATTACGTATAAGATAATGATAATCATAAAATTACTATTATTCAACTGCCTTGTGTCTTTTGCCCGTTTCTATACAGTCTTGTTTTTGTTTGTTATTGTCATTCTCAAAGTACCCGAGTTGAATTTTGTCCATTTGGATTTCTTCCAGGAATGTGTGAGAGACATTTAGGTCTCTAATGATGGAGCATTTTGTAGGCATAATGCAAAAGATTGTAAAGGGATTTTCTTTTGTATTGTGACAGCGGTGAAAATTACAGTGTCTATTTCTGTTAGGAATTCCGCGCACACTTTGGTATTAGTGTAAAAATGCTGAATCCAATAATTCATATTGTAAGAAATGATTATAATATTAATATAACTTGCAGATCATCTAACTCACTAGAAAATCCAGTTTGCCTGTGGTTTAAAAGTGGACATATGCACATATCTTTCCTCTTTTAACCAAATGAAATGATGAAACTATAAAGTAGATACCAGGTGGTGTATCATTAATGGAGAGGGGTGTGACATCAACGAGTCTTTTATGGAATCATTCTGAGGGAGATTCCCGAGACAACCTTACCATCTGTCCATTAGCTAGATTAACCAACACAGCAATTGTATACATTATCAATTTTTGATGACTTGAACTATTCATTTATATTGGCTTGATGCAGATTTCTTTTGAAAGTATGAATCAAAGTCCACTCAATGTGAAGTGCCTTCAGTTTCTGTAATACAGCTTGGTTTGCTTCTTGGATCTATGTCAATAAACTCCTTATTAATTAGATAATTCCCATGTGTGAATGGAACTCTCTCTACCCAGGTATTTTTATATTGGCCACTCCACCGAGGAGTCTCAGATAATTTTCTTCTTTCACTAACTCATTAGAAGTAATAAGTGTAATTTAACTGGACACTGATTTCACCCTTTTTAGAACCAGTTTTCAAAAGCAGCGACACTTTAGTTGAGACAAGTGTCACTGCTTTTGAAAACTGGTTCTAAAAAGTCTCATTTATTCAAAGCCATTTGAAAAGATTTTTTAAGTCCTTATTTTATAGTCAAATGTTGCTGAGTTATCAATGGCATCTCTGTGAACATTAGAGATATCACATTTAGATGTTTTGCCTAATTGAAAAATACTTAACAGATTTTTAATTCCTACTTATTGATGTAAGAGACATGGATAGTATTAATTCCTGGTTGGTGATTTGATGGGAGGAAGCTGGAGGAAGCTGACAGCAGCTTTCAAAGAGAAGATTCTTAAGTGTTTCTAAGAAGTAGTCTCCAAGTCTCCCAGGAAATTCCGTTTTTTTGTTTTCCAAACTTTATTTTTAATTTTTTCCCCAACTTTATTTTTGTTTGTTGTATAATTGACAAATACATCCATAATGCTTTATACCTCTTTATGATAGCCACGTTTTGTTTATAATACTTGTGATTAGTTATGTCCTTTTATCTTGTAAACTCCTGAGGACACAGAGCTCATTTCCTTATTTCCGTATTTTTGGTTTTTTTCTTTTGCT